ACAAATCATGTCAAACTGAAATTAGAAAAAGAAAAATCAGCAGAAACCTTCCTTTAGCCTCTGAGTGGGCAGACTCAGATTGACACCTTAGCTGGAGCTAGAGGACCACAGCGGATCATCTGCTTCCATTTTACGCTGTCCTTCTGTCCTCCCTCCATCTTTTCTGAGGTCTTCCTCTCTAACTCCTACCCAGCAGCTCAAATATATCCACTATCCCTCCTCTGCACATCATCAGATCAAATCATCTCAGCCTCTCTAACTTTATCTCCAAACTGCTCAGCCTGAGCTGTCAGTCAACGTCCACTGCTAAAAAAAAACATCACACGGAGATAATCAAATCGTTCACATTTGATAGGGTTATTCAAAAGTGGCAGCGGTTAGAACACTGGTTCCCAAACTTTTTTTGCAGAGCCCCCCTTTGTTTTACAAGAAAATCTTGCCCCCACCCCCAGCGCAGGCAGTGGAAAGAAATTCTGTCAGGGATACCTACCTTGGCACTGCTGTTGTGCAGGTGAAGCCAAAGGCAAGATATCATCATATTTTCTAGTCTTTGGTTTGGAAGGAAATTGGTTTGGAAGCATATCTGGCGATGCTTCATCTTCTACTTTGTGTTTGTGTGGGAGCCCTGTCAAAAACCTGTCCATTATGCTACCAGTGTCCAAGCATTCTTTTTTTTTTTTTTTTATGCCCCCCCCGGTAATGGCTGTGCGCCCCCGACTTTGGGAATCACTGGATTGGAAGACCTCAGGTAAGCTGTTACCTGTAACTTGGCTGCAGTTTTTCTATGTAAGTTTTTTATCATGTACTCTTGTTCTTGTGTTATTGTAAGGTGACCTTGAAGGTCTTAAAGGCGCCTATAAATAAAATGTATTATTATTATTATCATTATTATTTGTCTTGTTTTTTGCAGTGTTGAATACAAACCGATGGCCCGTAGTGTCGTGTCACCTTTTCCAAAGAGGACACGTGAACTACTTTCACTGGTGTAGATGAATGTGCATTGATATTGTAGTTGGCAATTAGTCGCATACCTTTGCATACCTGTCTGAGAGTGAATGCAGTCAGTCTGAGTTGGACTTTGAGTCGCCTCCCCCCAGGTGACCTGTGCAATCACTTTGCAGTTGGGAAAGTTGTTTCAGAAAAAGAAGACCCTTTCATTGTGTGGCACCCTTGATTGAAAGTGGGTGTAACATGTTACAGAGCAGTGTATTACTTAATATAATATGGTACATTTTTAGTGATGCAGTAATGTAAAGCATTACTGTACTAACACACAATTTATACCATGTACAGGAGGAGTGACCTACAACTTTTGAAGAGTCAAGGTTTTCATATTATTTTTACTTTTACTGCACAAACAGACAGGAGCACTGTGGTAAAGTGCTGACAGCATGTCAGCACACAGAACCGAGAGTGATGTTAAAGCTGAGTGAAGGCTGACTGCAGCCCAGCAGCCCCAGCCTGACTTTCAGCAGGTAACAAAGGCAGTGATGAGCAGCCAGGCTTGCAGCATTATCTCCTGCATTTCTTCCTGTTTATGTTTCTACAGTAGAATCACTGTGGCGATGGCTTTGAAGTCTCTTTGAGCTGGTTTTCATCTTTGCTTTGTGTTGTTGGTTTGTACGTGTGTCCTCATTAGGACGGGGATCTGTGTGAAGCCTGAGGTTTAAACTGTTAACGGGTAATTATGTGACAGTGCATTTCAGGACAGGTTACATAATAATGAAAACATAATACAACAAATTGTTTTCTCTGGAGAATAATTAAGTAAAGTAATGCATTACTTTTTTAAGCAATGGAGCAACCAGTAATTAATTCTACTTGGTTTTCCTCTCTGCGACAACATGATGATGATCAGTAAAGCCAAAACTAGTGTGTGGCTACAGCTGAGTCTCACAAAACAAGGTGAAATCTATTGGCTCTGCCAGCTTTTAGATAAACTTTTTTGAAAACAGCACATTCACTATAAAGATAAAAGATTTTCTAGCAAAAAACAACATTTAATGGAGTGTAATAAATAACTTCTGTAGTTTAGTAGTTTGTGCTTTTACAGTCAGATCATATTTTTGTATTCAGTTGTCAAACAATCAGATCAGACTTCTCCTCTTAGCTGCCTTCACTTTGTAATTAGCGCTGCCTCAGATCTGCTAATCGTCATCTTTCGCTAATCGGCTGGCCTCGAGTTCAGACTTAGATGACCACATCGTTCAAAGATGCTCCACGTGGCACCGAACGTGCCGTGCCATCTTTTACGTTTGATCGCTGGGCACTGCTTATAGACGTGCGTGCACTCTGTTTTGCCAGTTTGGCTGCGAACCAACGCAATTCCGTTTCAGATGAAACCGTCAGCGGACTGGAGTCGACTTCAAAAAGGACAAAATAAAATGGTAAATTGCATTCTGGGTAGGTTCCTGTTGGCGGAGGGATCTGGCCTACATCTCCCTGCATCAGCATCAGAAAATAGGTAGATGGAGCAGTTTTGGCGATCTGACACGTTTGATGAATGAAGAGACTGTAATAACGAATCAAAAAGGAGCTGAAGATGTGTGTGCCAGCCTCGGTTTGCCTTCTGTTGTCCTCAGAGGACAGAGCGACACCAATTAACTCCCAAACAGTTGTAATCAGGGGACCTGTAAGATACCACGCAAATTAAATTAAACCGTCCCTAACCATATGCCAATACGTGTCGTCTTCAAAGCCTGTTTTCAATACGGCGAGAGCTTGTGACTCGGTGGCTCGATGGCTCGCCGGCTGAAACAAAAAAGCAGATAAATAACTCAATTACAAGCACACAAGAAAAAGAAGAAATAATCTTAGAATCCTGCCTCAGGGAGTTTCATTTTCAACTTAAAACACTCGATTGCTACCAGCTCCTGAACTGATTGACAGGTTGTTTAATGCAGAGGGATGTCGAACTGAATTCTGCTTTAGGCTCCAGAAAGTCTCAGTGTGGCCCCGGTGGAGAAATAAATTAGTGAAATAAAAGAGAGGAATCATCCTGTTCCTGATTGCTCTGGTTTATCTTTGTGAGAGAGCCACACCGACGACAGGCAGAGTCAGAGGGCAGTGGAGAAAATGTGCCCGACAAACAGCGACCCTGAAAGCAGGATGATGTCACTCGGGCAGCCCACCTGCCACGAGGCCAAATAGCACAGCCGAGGCTGAAGCCAACGACCTTAATTGTGTCTACCTCCTCTCCTGCTGCAGTCTTATACGCCTGCAAGAGGGGAGCGAGTAAATATGTTTTGTGCATGCAGCAGATGAGTTCGTGTCAGATCATGTCACGACTTGACAGCGTTTTCTTCACCTCTGAGCGGTATTCTAATATCTAGTGCAAGCCATTTGGGAGGATCTGTCTGTGGAGAGCTGGGACTTTTCACACATCCTTCCAATTTTTGTGACAAATTGCTGTGAATGTTGCAGGCGTTCAAACCTTTTCACACTGCAGAGTTTTTGTATTGAAAAAAGGGGAGTACATAACATTTAAGGACACATTTATTTTTCTAAGATCTGAAATATTTTACACATTGAATGTAAAACATTTAGGAAGGATATGCAACTGCTTTCAGACTGGATAGATGCTTCAGGGGTTTCCTGAAGGGTGAAATCAAACTAACATAATGTGAACTTTTTGGAGGTTTTACTCTCTGAATCTGACTTTCCCGGGTTTGCACTTGAAATAACATCTGCTTACAAAACAACTAATGTGAAGACACAAATTGCTTGTCTAACTCGTGTTAGTCACAAACCACAGGGCACCAATATTTAGCAAGTACAACAATAAAACATACAATAATAAGCAAATTTCCAGCCAGCCAAGTTCAAACCCGTCATTATGTCCTTGACAGTTGTCATGTCATTGTCTTGTGTTTCTCACTAACTTTGTGGGCAGAGAAATAAAGCTGGGGCTAATAGCTCTTACAGGGATAGACTTGCTTATTTGCTAATGGCTTCTTCTTCCTGTGGGCCATTAGATAAGCAGCAGCAGCCACCGCTCTTGAAACCAGTGTGACGTCAACCCCAGTGATCACTATCGGGCCCGCTAATGGTCTCTGAAAGGGAGAAAACACATTCAATCACATTTACTCACAATGAAAGATATGACGACGTGTTCCGCTAACCGGAGCGGATCCGCCGTTCGTTACGCCGTGTCACAGCGCTTTGATTTTGAGTTCGATACACTGTTAGTTATTGTGCCGGCCTGTGTTTTTCCTGGATGTGCGGGGCGATCGCCTTTAATCATTAGCACAGAAAGGTACAGGCCGTATTGATTTAGACGAGCGCTCGAGCCCATCACAGCGGCTCATCATTAAAAGACACATTAAAAGACAAAAAACAAACCGCTAACTGGACACCGGGACCTCACACAGATCCACAAGTACTGCTGCTGGACCGAGTCACTGAATGCACAAAGGCACTGCATGTGGCTGTTAGAGGCAGACGGTGAGGAAAATTTGAACAAATGAGAAATGAGGTGCCTCTACACAGATCGCAGGGCGTCTCTGAAGACTGTGTGAGGATTTGAATCATGCAATCACTTTCAAACTCCACCCAGCAGTCTTTGTAGCAGCTCAGTTACATGCACATCTTAAAACCATACATGTTGAAATATTTTAGAAAAGAATGAAATCTGGGCTCGTCTCATTTTTTTTTAGAGATGAAGAAGCGTGAAGGTCTGGGTCGGTCCTCAAGTGAAGGCATGAAAGTCTGAACCAGCTGCTGCATTTTAGAGGGAACGCGTTGCCACATTCAGATTTAACACACATTTTTTTATTTCAAATAATAGCTCTACATTGAAAGCAACTTCTGAGGATGTAAACATAAAGTAGCAGAAACTGCAGTTCCTCTAATGGCCACTTGAGGCTGACTTGACACGTGTTAGTATTCCCAGCGACCTCTGCACCAAAACCAAGGCACAAATGCAGTCAAGCGTTCCAGTTCTGTGACTCACACAAGTGGAGCTGAAGCTTAACAACCTGTGACAGCAAACCTTTGGACTTTAACCTTTAACAATATCCAAATGGACAAATAAAAAAAATAGTCTGTGGAAAGAAACAGGTGTGCTGTATAAAGCGCTCCAAGTGCTTAGGTAGAGTACAAACAACTTATATGTTGCTCTCAGTTTCGGAAATTCTCACAGATTTCAGATCTTTGGATCAGCCTGATCTGTTTATTTGCTATCTGTGTGATTCTTTCTTTGCAGGGGTGCTTTTCTGAATCACACCCAGCTCGGTGAGTCATTCTGTGCAGGAAGTAAATGGCATAAATTGTTTAATTTGAAGGTTATTGTTTCTTTTTAAATAGTTTCTTATTATATTATATTACTGAATAATCAGCATAGTATATGTGGAAGAGTTTCACATCCATACTGTGAACTGTCAGTTTTTATAACGGCTGCTTTCTGCTGGAGTGTCCTTGCACGATCCCCAGCCTCTCTCTGACAGACTAACTGTTTCTCCTGTGCAAACCTCTGTGACAGAAGTGCTTACTTGCAGTTTGCCTTCAGTTGTCAGGCGGTGACTTGGCTTCCTTTGTGCTCAGTCACTCTGCAGTCGTTTAGCAGCGCAGCATTCACCCGACAGCTCCTCACATCCGGACTCGCGGCCTGTCGTTAGCTCCTCTGCATATCAGAGCCATGTAATGGCGTTGCAAAAAGCCTAATTAGATCTAAATTAGCGTCACTTTCTTGACTCAACATTATGGATAGAGGATGAGGGACTAATTACACTGCTATTAATGCAGAGAGAGGTTAATGACAGGGGAGTTTGTCACCAAACGCGAATGGGGAGGGACGTGATCGGCTCGGCTCGTTCAGCCGCCACATCTAGACCGTTCTTTTCTTTTTGCTGATGCAAGCTGTTCTGGCAGTTTGTGAGCCGCCTGCACTTTCACTTTGTTTGTGATCAATGTACACTTTATATGTGGTAAACAAATAATAACTCAGGTTTACAGGCTGTCGACTGCTCGGTAGATTAAAGCATAACTGTGGTGAGCATCGCACGAGAGCGATGTATATGTTCGTCTGTAATTATGTGCGCAACAAATCATCAGAGGTGTCCGTCTGAACTTGGATTACAGCCGTGCACAGGTGGGCTCGTTAGCAGGATCACAATACTCTGTTATGCTGTGTGGCACATCAAGTTAATGCGTGAAAGGCCACAAGGACGTCTATTCATCAGAATCGGCCTTAATTACACTGTAAAAAATCTCCATGCAAAGACATTTTGCTGAATATCGAATCTAAAATGGTCCATTTCCTTAAAACAAACCAAAAAAAGGCAGTCCTCAGTGCAGTAATAAGATCTTGACAAGTGCCAGGAACATACTAATAATCTCCGCTTTCTAGTAGAAAGAGTCTTAAAGTCTGTCCTGAGAGTAGCACTACACAACTGTCAGGTGTTCCTAATAAATGGCTCAGCGATTGCATCTTAAACAAGCCTTAAAGGCTACAGAGACCAGCAGCTCAGTCACAGTCTGGAGAGTGGAGAAGCAGAGAAAGGATCTCGTTTGTAGTCTGTTTTGTGGAGGGCTCTGGTTGCTGATTTGTACACTCACATTCTCCAATTAGTCAATGAGCTGTTGGGCAGACACCCACAGGTGGAGGCCAATTATTGCTGGCAGCTATAGAGAGAAGTAGGCAGGGGGCAGAAATGAACGAATCGATTCACAAATATACAGCATCCTTATTTCTTTGTCTTTTGAACATTTCACATCATTAAACATGTGATCAAAGAGTTAATAAACAGGATTATAAATGTGAGCGGGCAGCCTTTAGCACGGTACAGTTTTCAAAGGAAAAGAAAATTAATTGAGGTCCAGCATGAAGGCATCCCTGCCTCAATGCAAATTAGAAGATTTATTCATATACTGTTGTTATTTTCCACTTTGTTGCATTCTTTGCTTTATGCAACGATCTCTGCAGAACTTTCCTCTGTCTGCAGACGAATCAGCCCGAAGAAATATTCAGAGTTCAGTGGAAGAATTTGATTCATGGCCTTGTGTTTTTGTGTTGACTTTCAACAAAGACTGAAATTTGGTCAAATCTTTTTTTTTATTAAATCAGGACGTGAGCATGTCCTGAGGCATGATGGGCATGTCTTCAGCTCCAGGAAAACACCTGAACACAAACAGGGAGCACTCCAGGACGCTCCTGAAGCAGCAGTGCTAACCACTGTGCCGTACGTCCAACTGTTATATTCAAATCTACAGGTTAAAGGCATAAACTAGCATTTTGCGCTGGTGTTCATAAAGCTCTTCTCTGCATGACAAGTATTATGATTTCCAACTGTGCTGTATGACCTAACATAACCTCATCTTTCTCTAGCTCAGTGGTTCTTAAAGTGTGTGGCGAGACTTCTCACAGGTGGGGCACAAGTTAACTGGCAGAAAAGTCATGTGGAACTAATGTTGCATTAGCTGCATCAAAGCTGCATCCACGTGCGCAAGTCAACAACCACAATAAAGAAGTGTACTGAAAAGTGTGAACCTGTGGTTGGGTCTGTCGTGCATTGTTTACAGTGGTGCCAAAATCCAGAATTGGGGCACGAGAGTCTCAACGTCATGTTTGCACTTTTCAGTACACTTCTATTTTGCGGCTATCGAATTACACACGCGGCTGCAGCTTTTCAGCTTAAGCCTACACACATCAACAACAACAGCAGGACCCAGTTCATTCTGCTTTAAGCCGGCGAGGCGGCTTGGGGATGCCGCTCAGGTGCATCCGCCTCCCCCGCAGCCGTGCCACAGACCACGCCCCGCCACAGCTCTGCAGTCAAAAACAGGCTCACTGCAGCCACTGAGAGTGTATTAAACTCTCACTAAATTATATATATTTCATCTCTGTTCACAAGTTTCTGGATTTCTTTGTTTACTAAGACTGAACTTTATTCAGTCTTAGTCTGTTCACATTCTGTTTAACTTGTTGCTTTTTTGAAGAAGTGCTGCTGACTCATGAAACAGTCTAGTAACAAAAGTTACAAATAGCTGTTTGAAATGAAAGTTGTTTGTTTAAAACAAAAATTACCGAAGGATTCATTGTGAATTTATCATCTAAATAAAATTGCAGCTATGCTTTTCTGTCATCGTTTTGTTTAGATGGGGCGTGGAAATATTTCTTTCTGCCATGTGGGGAATGATGTAAAAAGTTTGACAACCACTGATCTAGCTGAACATTTGCAATGACCTTCACACATCCACACAACATCAACTTCTTCTCTAAACACTGAACAATGCCACAAAACATAATATTTCACTGGGTCCTGCACTATTGTCACCATTAGCCTCCTTTTGCTGGTTGAACATTGTTTGTTGGACCTTCTCTTTCCACCATGTGACCAAAGTAGTGTTCACTGAAGGTGAGAAGCGTAAAGCCTTTTAAAAAAAAAATTAATAAAATCCTTTATTGAAAATGTTCATATGAAATTACAAGGCAATGTGCAAGGCACATGAGAATAAGGGAGTAAACAATCTGGTTTTTAGAGAAGACAAAGAAAATAAATAATTGAACTGCAAGTAAAATTAAGTATTTTTCAGTCGCTAACAAGCGTTTGTCCAAACAGTTGTCACATTTGCAAAACTCTAAACACAATTAGCACAGCATCGGTCTGTTGTGGCCATACCATTCACACATTTCATGTCGTGTTCACCCAATATGCAGTCAGTGAACACATTTCCACAATGCTTACATTTTCTTAACAGACAAGCTATACCTCCCAACAAAATTATGGACTGTTTTTGTAGTATGTACGAATGTTAACACACAACATCCCACAATAGCAAAAACAATATTCTAAACCTTAGATACAGTATAAAAACCTCTGCTTCTGCAATGATATCAGTACAAAACCAATATCAATATCAAAAATATATCTCAGCTGATAATAAACAAACAATTGAATAATTGACACACAGCTGATTTATGTTGGGTAAATTGGGCCAACCACAGCTTCTTCCATTCTGGCTTAGACTCAGTGGGGTTTATAAGGCAAGACCTTGAGGAGTGATGTTTTTGGAAACAAAAAAAAAAGACAAACACTGTAATGTCTGGTCGAGGAAGAGTAAGAGCAAGGGGCCCAGGGAGAAGAGCAGGCCCAAGGAGAGGGCAAGGTAGAGGTGTAAGAATGCGTGGTGGTGGCATTCCAAGGGCTGCAAGAACAGTAGTCAGTGATGAAATTCATGCCACTATCATTGACCATGTAATCAACCATGGTCTTTCACTAAGAGAGGCTGGTGAAAGAGTGCAGCCCAATTTGAGGTGGTCAACGGTTGCCTCCATTATACGCACCTTTCAACAAACCAACAGGTAAGTATTGCATTTTACATGGATTGTTCCTATTCTCACTTGACATGTCAATATGGTCATACAGTAATGCATATGTTGAATTGTCTGTCTTTCTAAAGAATGCAACGTTTTCCACCCTCTGGGGGAAGAGGAAAGCTCCTCAGTAATGATCAGGAGCTTGCCATTGTGGAAATGGTTACTGCAAATAATGCAATAAAACTGCGTGAAATACAAACCAGAATTGTGGCGGACCATGAGATATTCGACAATATCGATAGAATCAGCCTCACAACCATTTCACGGACATTGTCCAAACATAGAGTGCGGATGAAGCAGCTCTACACTGTTCCCTTTGAGAGGAACAGTGAGAGGGTCAAGGAGCTACGACGACAATATGTCCAGGTACAGTGTATATTCAATCCAATGTCCAGTTCTATAAGCTTTGCACTTTGCAAGTAGGTAACCTACACAATACTAGGTTACAGTACAGTATGGTATACAATACTAACATGACTTACATAAACTTTGTTTCAGAGAGTTATGGAATTGGAGGCCAACCAGGCCCCTCATGAATTCATATACATCAATGAGGCAGGATTCAATCTGGCCAAAAGGCGTCGACGTGGACGGAATGTAATTGGAAAAAGGGCCACAGTTGATGTGCCAGGACAGAGAGGGGCAAACATTACCATGTGTGCAGCAATTGCAAATGCAGGATTACTCCTTCACAAATGTCAGGTTGGACCCTATAATACAGAGCGCTTGCTTGCCTTTCTCAATGATCTCCACCAGCGCCTGGTTCCAGAGCAGGGTCAGGAGGGTGAAAACATGAGGACCTTTGTAATTACCTGGGACAATGTGGCTTTCCATCACTCGCAAGCAATAACAACATGGTTTGAAGTCCACCCAAGACTGGTGAGTCTCTTCCTTCCACCCTATTCACCTTTCCTCAACCCCATAGAGGAGTTCTTTTCTGCATGGCGGTGGAAGGTTTATGACCATCAGCCACATGACCAGATGTCCCTCCTTGAAGCCATGGATGCTGGCTCCAGGGACATCACAGTTGACGATTGCCAAGGGTGGATCCGACATACCAGGCGGTTTTATCCCAGGTGCATCGACTTGGCTGACATCAGATGTGATGTTGATGAAAACATGTGGCCTAACCCTGAAGATCGCAGAGATTAGATGCAACTTTTTTGCCTTTTTTTAGCCCCCCTCCCCCCTTTTTATCTTGGCTTTTTGCTGTTGTTTTTTTGTTCAGAATGCTCTTGTGTGTTTCATGGATATTTTGTTCACTGTAAGCAATACTGTAAAACTTTCTCTGTCCTATCATACCGTGTTTCTACTGTACCTCCTGTGGTAAACAGTAAAGAAACAAAAACTTGTTTGCTTTTTACTGGAATGCTTTTGAATGTGAACATTACTGTACATGTGGACATACAGTTACCAACCAAGACATTTCTGGTGTCAATATGGTGGATTGCATGTTTCGCATGCAAATACCTGTGAAACTGAAACATAAAAGTCTATGCAGTTTTTGTAATGTCAATAATAGCCAGTATTTTGAAACCTGGTGTACTTTGACTGCATGTACCTTGTGAAGTGAAAACAAGTGTTATTCTTTGACAGACTAATTTCATTTTGAGTCAGATTTATAGTGTTTTTGTACAGTTAGTATGTGCAGAGAAAGATGTGTTCTAATTTTGAAATGAGGAGTTAGTATATATTTAACAAAGTGTATTTTTGGGAAGGATATTATCCATTTGGCCAATTGTGTTTTGTAGGTGTGGGTCTGTGTTAAGAGTTTAAAAAAAGTATCTGAAGTATGGGTAGGCGCTTGTTAGCGACTGTAAAAAACTTTAAGTATTTTTAACATGTGTTCAATCTGATGGTAATTTTACAGAAGAACAAACAATATTTGACATTAACAACATTTACATTGTAAACATGCTAATCACCCATGTTTTTGGGACATGGGTGATATTATAAAGTCTTACTGCCTTTCTCTCACATATCCAAAGCTGGCTTGTGGTGCAGCAGCTGAGAACAGCTGGTGGCAGTTAAATCCATTTCAGTTCCGTTTTATTTATATAGTGTCCAAATCTCAACAACAGTCATCTTAGAGGAATTTATATTTGAATATGAAGTCCGTAAAATAATACAGAGAAAACCCCCAGATTCAGACTACCTCCCATGAGCAAGTGTTTGGCAACAGTGGGAAGGAAAAACTCTTTTTTTTCAGGAAAAACTCTCTAGCAGAGCCGGGCTCAGGCAGGGCGGTTGGGGTAAGGGAAGACAGGGCTGGGACACGCTGTGGATGAGAGCCAGAGATTGATAATAACTAATCATTACATTCAGAGAGGTGTATAAACACATAAGCCTGCAGTGTGAGAGCGAAGTGCTCTAATCGGGTGATATTGTCATTAAAATAAGTTCGGACCTGATTATTTAAGAAGTGTGTCCTGAGATGTAGACTATTGTGTTCCAGAAAATGATTGTTTTCTGGTCCTGATCTAGTTCTGGTGATGTCCTTTTTTTCATCAAAAGCTTCATAATATAATTAAAAATTATTGTTATTTTCAATAAACTGTAGTTTTATTTGTTTAACTGTTACATAATACTTGTCAGAACTGCATGTGTATTTCCATTTCATTCATGCACTTAAAAAAAGATGAACACCACTGCGCGACAGGAAACAGGGTGAGATTTAACCATGTGATCGTGAGGAGCTGACTGGTGGGGGTTTAGGCCTGGGAGTCGACTCCACTCAGCCAGCAAAGCGGCTCAGCGTTTCCCTCTTTTCAATGACTTTTAATGCGACTCCATAGAGAGAGACAAAATCTGGAGCTAAACACTGAAGACAAAGTATGCAAATGAGTAATTAGTTCAATAACAGTTTCCCAAAACATCAGCCCTTAAGCAACTGCTCTGCATCTATTATAACAATTACCATACGCAGCACGGCATGATGGATCTGCCCCTCGCTGCTACCGCCGCCGCCATCCCCAAACGCAGCGTACGACTGAGCGAACAGTGTGCTAATGGGAGACAAAAAAGGGAGGTAAAAAAGCAGAGAAAACACATTCGGCTCAGCGTGACAATCAGCTCATCCCGCTGACAAA